CTGTCAGGGGGACAGAGAGAATGCCCCCAAAGTGAACTGTGCATTGATGGGGGCAGCTTAGGACACTTCGGGGTGGGGGGCAGTTGCCCCTGTTAGGGAACTCTGGGAGAGCTTCCAGGAGGAGGTGAGCGCTGAGATGAAGTGTGAGGTGCTGGCCAGGTCAGGAGCAGGACAACCCAGGCAGAAGGAAGGGAGTGTGGGAAAGGTAGGTGGTAAGCAAGAACTTTCATTGTTCAAGAACCAATCTGCACGATGCGCTTCACCCAGAGCTGGCTAAGGGCTCTGTATCTGTAACAGTTTTCTACCATCTTCCTTATTAGAATTGCTAACTGAGAAGTCCAATGTCACTGGGACACAACAGGAAGAAGAGGGCATGAGGGAAAAGGAGGCGGGAGAAGTCGGCCAGGCCACGCGTGCTCACAGCACCTGGGAGTTATATGGAAAGGCACTGGGATCTTAGCCTTCGTTCATTCAACGTCGGTTATGGAGTATCAAGTTCTGCTCCTGGAGCAGGGCACACGGCAGTTGAACAGAAAATAGCTCCTGCTCCCGGGCAGTTTACAGCCAGGGAGGAGACAGCTAAATGACACATAAGCATCTCATGCAGTTTAGGGCTCAAGAAATGCTGTGGCAAAAAATAAATGCAGCAGAAAGAGGGGGTAGTCAGGGAAGGCCTCCCTGAAAAGGTGACATTCGAGCAAAGACTTGAAGGAGGTAAAGGAGAAGGTCATGAAGCAAACCGAAGGGAAAGCATCCTTGGTAGAAGAAACAGCACGTGCAAAGGCCCTGAGGTGGTTTGTACTTGTTATGTTGAGGGTCTGGCAAGGAGCTGAGCAGGGCTGCAGCAGAGGGAGGGAAAGGACAGAAAGATGCAGAAGGACCAAATTATGTAGGCCCCTGTGGGCTGTGATAAGGACTTTGGGCTCGGTTCTAGGTGCGTGAGACCCACGTGAGGCTTGCGAGCAGTGAGTACGGTAAAAGGATCACTCTGGTGGCTGGTGGTTGTGTAAGAAATCTGATACTGAGGGTGGGTGGGTGACTGGCTATTGCAGGAGTCAAAGTGATAGATGATGTTGACCTAGGTGATGGCAGAAGCCATAGAGGTCGGATTCTGGGGGCCATAGATTTTCTGAGGGACCGGGCCTTTGAAACGCTGGGAAGCCATTGTGTTATAGTAAAAGGCAAGGGTGACGTGGTCATCTTCACACCTGTCAACTGCCACAGTTGTCCAAATCCTCCTGGACTATCAGCCCCAAGAGGATGGGAATGGGGTCTCTTGTATTCACCAATGTTCCCCCTCCCCGTGCCCAGCACAGAGCCTGGAGCTGAGCAGGTGCTCGACAAAAATGGGGCGGCTGGGTAACTGAACCTAGGGCTCCACGGCCAACGCCGTCATCCAGTGTCGAGCCTCAAAGTCCTGTTTCCTGGAGGAGGCAAGATGTAGAAGAGAGCACTGTGCCGAGAGTCTGGAGACCTGGGTTTCTGTGCAATCATCCCTCCATCGAACATTCATTCATGTGACAGGCCCCGTGCTGGGTCCCTTGAGAAATCAGGGCTGATAAAGACACAGGCCCGTTTTCTTGTGAGGGAGAGAAATGAGGCCCAAACCAAGCAAGTTGTTGATCTGACCAAGGGATGCCCAGGAGAGGAGGCAGCTGACTACCCAGGGCCTGGGGACCCATCGCCAGCCAGGTGGCCTTGACGCTGCCTTGAAGGGTCCTTGAAGTCCTTCAGGCAGAGGGTGTGGCTGCACAAAGGTGGGGTCTCACGGGCCTGCAGGGCGATGTGCGTGATGAGAGTTAGGGCTACAGAAGGGGTGGGCGGCAGCTTGATCAGGAAGGGTTCGGAGGTGACTGGGAGCCATGAGAGGATTCTGAGTGGTGAATGGGCGGAAGTGGGCAGCGGAAGCCCTCTTGTGACAATGCGGAGGAAGTGCTGGAGCAGGAGGTGGGAGCCCAGGTAGGAGGCTACGCTTGGAGTCCAGGTGGGAGGTGATGGGGAGCGCAGGTGAGCAGCGCCCCGTCCGTTTGGGCTGTGTCTAATCTTGGGTTTTTACACAGTGGGTTTTCTGAAAATGAGCTCCTCTGTGATGCTCGGAGTCCTCGCAGATGGATATGAGGGGCATTTATGAGAACAGCAAAATCCACGGGCGCAGGCCTGGCCTAGGGGAAGGACGCACAATGGTCCCCACATCCCCGGGGAGAAGAAGAGAGAGGCCTACTGAGTGTCCTACCCTGGACTGCTCCTCTTGGCACCTCCTGTAATGGACCTGTGACCTTCTCCGAGCCTTAGTTTCCCCCTTAGTACCCCGATGATGTGTGAGGCAGTAGAGCCTAGGAGTCTGAGCGTTACTCCAAAGACAAACCTCTTGGGTTTGCAGCCTGGACCTGCTGCTAATTGACTGCGTGACCCTGGCTAAGCTGCTCAACCTCTCTGTGCCTCAACGTTCTCATCTGTAAAATGGGGATAATAAATAAGAGCATTTACCTCCACAGGCTCTGTGTCACATTTACATGAGATAGTGCACTCAAAGCACTGGATGCAATCGAAATCAGTGTCAACCATCATCACTTCCAGCCCCCCTGAGTCCCCATTACTCTATGAATCATCCCGAAATAAGTCCTTGGGATCCAGATTCAAGAATAAAACAGGGGTGTGGCCACCTTTGGAGAAGGGTGGGGACCCGGGACTGAGAGAGGGTGAGGAGCCCTCATCACTGGGCTCACCCCCATCCAGCCACCCTGCTCTGCTTGCGGGGATGGCCAGTTTCTCACCAGGGGTGCTGTGGACACTTTGGGCAGTG